TGCCAGCGGGGCAGGCACAGACGAATGCGGCGCTCTCTCTCCACCAGGCTCCGCTTCACGTTTCAAAACTGGACAGCCCGCCTCGAGGATCCCGAACGCCAGAGCTGGACCAGAACAAAGACCTTCCGAGCCTCTTTACAGGGCCTGAGGACTGAAGGGGTTCTGTCTCTTTTTTGTACTGTATGTGTCGAGCGCGAGCCAGGCTAGGGCAGTAAAAGACTGCCACGAGATGATCTCCCGGCGAGCAGCTGGGCGACGGAGCAGACTGCACAGAGGTCCGACCAGAAGGGGAGTTCCCGAACCCCAAAGGAAGCTCTGGCCGCATCTGACAGAGTGGCAGAGGCGGCCGAAAAGTAAAAAGGCCTTCGATGCTGAGGCGAGAAGTCTCGGAGACACGCTACTTGCTGACCAGACTAGCCATCGCTTGCTGTGGCGCCTTGAGCACAGCGCGCTTGATTACATTTGCGAGAGCATTGGCAAGGGCAGCTGGATATGCAGCTGCGAGCGCTGTGTACTTACAACCTGCAGGGCTTTGGCCAGACAGAATTACATGCTTGTTGGCAGTGCGTGAGCACAGCCCGCGTCTCCCTTGGCACATGCGGCGTAAGGATTCTATAGGGCCAGCGTGCCATGAGACGATCCTCGTGCGCTTGCGCCAAAGAGTACCATACTGGCACTGGTCAAGATCACAACTACGTGCACAAGGTAAGTGAACGAGCCGAGACAGCGAACGCGCATACCGCATCAAAGAGCCCGCTGGATTCTCCAGCATCACAGGAATCCCAAGACGAGTGCACAGTCTGATGATGCGGCACGTGAATGCGAAAGAAGCGTTGCCCTGCTGTAAGCGGGCTCTCTCGGAGGTGCTCAACTGATGGAGGCCCATGGGGTGGTCGCGAGATCTCAGGGGTCTCCTGAGGGCCCGCGACCAGGTGGCGCAGGGCGTCCCTAGAAAGACAGCGGCGACTGCATGGCTACAAAGCCATCCGACGATGACCTCCTCAAAAGTGGCATCGAGGTGGTCCTCGAGATGCCCATGCCTAATGTCGAGCCCCAGACCCGAAAGGCCGAGTCGGCGCACTGCGGCGGTGAGGTGGCCAGAACCGCTGAACAGCTCTAACACCACGCGCCTGCGACAAAGCGAGCCTCGCTGCACTGCCTCCTTGAACCGCCGCCTCAGGTGCTGTCGGACGGCATCGCCCGTAGCACTCACTGCGCCGCAGCTGCGGGCCTCCTCCGAGCCCGCCTGCCGCGCGCTGGGGCGCCCAGCTGCATCGCCTCCGCTAGCCGGGAGGGCACCTGGGCGAGGCATCCGCTCCTGATGAAGCCCATCTCCAGCAGCTCGCAAAATCGCCCTTCCACGAGGTGGCCGAGCGCGTACACGTCCTCCGCCACGCCCTGAAGCTCGCGCAGAAGAGCCGTCTCCTTCGCGTAGCGCCGCATCGACGATATGACGGCCCAGCGGCCCCTGCGGAACACCTGTTCCATCGATCGCCTCTGCGTCAGGAGGTCGTCGCTCACTCCGCCATGCCTCATCCCGTGCAAGTGGGGGCGCAGGTGGTTGATGCCCAGGGCCGTTGCAGCAAGAGTGAACATCTGGTTCAGCTGGCCAAGACTGAAACCCCACAGAGGCGTCGCGGCAGGCCCCTTCAGGCGGAGCGCCATGAGGACCGGCACGAGGTACAAATCGAGATCGAAGAGGATCGACTCGTCGAACGACCCCGTCTCCCCGCCCTGGCCGCGGTCTGCGGGGTGCAGCAGGAGGCCCCAGAACTGATACGCGGCGCCCGCGCCTATCGACGGCTGCACGATGCTGTCGGTCGTCAGCCTCTGTGCCTCGGCAGGTCGGAGGTATGCCGAGAAGCTGATGGCCAACCAAGCTGCCATCTGAGGCTGCTGCCAGGCGATCAGCATCCCACACAGGGCAAACATCACAGCCCGGGGGATCGGGAGCCCGGTCAAAGCGGGCGCGCGCCGCATCCAAGCCTGCATAGCACGAGAGGCCCTCGGCAGCTTGGTGCCCATCTGCCTCGGGAGCCCTGGGGTAAAATGCGAGATGGCTGCTATCGTCCGGGACCCGACGTTCGCAGCGGCTCCCTCCAGGTAGCGCGTGGTGAAGTACTCCGCCAGGATCGAGTCCAGCTGGCCCAAAGTGCTCCAGTCCAGGTGGTGGTCCGCACAGTAGCTCACGAAACTGTGTAGTAGCTGCCGGTAGAAGGCTTCTGCGTTCGGTCTCACCGCCAGCTGCTCCAACAGGCTCATGGCCAAAGTACTGGTGCGCCCGCCCGCGGCCTTGGCAGCCAGACGGGCGCGGTGTCTCGTCAAGGCAGAAGGGGTGCGCGACCCCCGTCGCGGCATCGCCTCCGCCCTCGTGATCAGCAAGAGCAGGGCGAAGAGGGCGACGCAGCCGCCGGCCATGCGTCCGAGCATCACTCAGATGACGGCGCCCGCTGAACCAGCCCAGCTTCCCACGGCTGAGCGAGTCTGATGGGTTCCTTTCTGAAGCGATCCAGCGCACACAAAGCCTCGAGCCTGTGGCTAACGACAGACAGCACAACTGGTTGAGACATGACCTCAAGAAACTCGAGCGTGCTCTCCCCTTCGCACAAGGAAGCGCCAAAGGCAAGTTGTCGACTAAGGCAACCATGCGCTTGCCGTGACTGCCCAAGCTACGAAGAAGGTGCCGATAGGACGTGACCAAGGCCTCGCCCTCCAGGTAAAGAATATTGGCTCCCAGAGACACCGACTGTGCACTGACGCTCTTCCAAGCTTCTTTGCGTGTAATGTGCCCAGGTACCTCGTCGAGCTCCCAAGGGTCCGTGCTGGACCTCAGGGCCTCGGCCATGTTGAGTTCCACCGGGACGCCCAAGTCATTACCGTAGACGCCCAAGGTGCCGGCCTCCTGGATGTCCTCTGGATTCTTCAACGCGCGACTCCCCAAGCTGCCCAGGTGCTCCACAGAGTAACCCCAGTTACCGTCGGATCTTGGCATGAGAGATGGAGAGAGAGAGAGAGAGAGAGAGGGCGGACTTTGTATGTTTTCGCCTGGCCCCTCGTCGGTCAACAGTTCTCCTGCCTTGAGCGACCGAACGCGAGCCTGGTGCCCGCCCTCGACCCTGTAGCGCCACCGCTCCGAGTACCGCCCAACAGCAGCACAAGTAGCAGCAGGCGCCCGACGTCGCATCACACCGAGGCCAAAGGGAGAGGCGTCGCTGGCCGTCATCACGGCGCGCCACTCTGCGGCCAGGTCGCAAGTCAAAATCGGGAGCAAATCTCTAATGATAATGAGCTCCTTGATCACTGACGGCCAGAGCTTGCCGTGCCTCGGGCCGAAGGCACCGACGTAGCCATAGGAGCTGCGAAGCACGGTGAGCACTTCTCTGCGGATCATAGACGCCCACGTGATGTGACCAAGCACCGCCCGAAGCATGTGGCCTGAGCACCATCCACGCCTTAACAAACTTGAAATCGCGAAATGAAGTCTCCAGATGTTACGAGGCTTGATGCGAAGATATCTGCCACCGCGGAGGCTGGGGCCAAGGAAGTCGGCATCCAGAGCAGCGGGCTCGATCTCGTGAACTGGGAGCCCGCGACTCCTGAAGGTGCTCACCAGCCCGGCCATAGTCTGGTCCACCAAGGACTTGCTGCCGCCGAAGACGAGGATATTATCGACGTAGGCGGCAACTCCCACGGCACTCTTTTCGACAACGTTAACCCCAGGATGACCATCCTGAGCGGTCTGATCCAGAGAGCGGCCGTCGTCCGAAAGCACAGTGCGAGCAGCAGCCCGACAAAGATGCAGCGCCCACGAAAAGCCCATGGGAAGCACAAGGACCTGGGGCGAGAGTGACACCCACGGGTCGAAGTCGAGGTCGATGAGGCCGATCTCCTGAAGCACCCCCGCCTTGATCGGTGGCAAGGTGAACATCACTTCCATGCCCGCTGGGAGCCTCATGTGGTAGAAAGCACACTCCAGGTCGCAGGTCGACATGTACATGCCTTCGATCGGCGCCTCGATCGAGCTGAAAGCTGAGGCCGAGGGTAGCCGAGTGCTGGGCGCATCTAAAAACTTGCAGTTGGCGGCCCTCGTATCGAAGATGATGCGGAGGGCCCCCGTCTTCTTGGGAACGAAGAAGAGGCCGACGGTGTGCGGCTGGCCGGAGTCCGCCGCGAAGTTGACCATCTGCCTCTCGTACATCTGGATCAAAAAACGACCGTACGTGCTCACGTCACGCGTCAGGGCGGGATCGCAAAAAGGCCCCTTCGGGCATGCCTCCCTAGCCAGAGCAGCAGCAGCACGCGGATCTCGAAGCATATGACTCCGCCAACCCTCCAGCCAGACCTTATCCACAGGCGGCACCAGCTCGATGATGTCAACTGGGGCCCCACCTGCGGCGGGCCATGCGACTTTGTCGCTGACGTAGGGAGCCGACGTCGCGGCGCCAGACCCGTGCAGGTTGGCGCAGGAGAGGAGCTCCCTGAGGGCTCCGTCTTCGGCAGCGTTACTAGACATGAACTCTGACGGCGGGCGCCCAAGCTCGTCGATGCTGTCCGAGATGTGCATGATGGCCTGGCGCTGCCCCTCGTGAGCCACAGCTGGAGGCGAGGACCGAGAACCATACAGTGAATTAAGTGCGTTGACGGCCGAGCGAACCCTATCCTCGCGATGAAGGCGATACCCAGCACGCCTAGCCGAGCGGCGACTTCCTGGCGCTGAGGGTGGGCGAGCAGCAGCAGCGGGGATCGGCAGCGGGAAGACGTCACGGTGACGGGGCCCTCCACACGCGCCCGGGCCTGCGGCCGAAGCCGCACTCCTGTCCCAGGGAGAGGCTGGCCCAACTGCCCCCCCCCCCTGGTGCTTTTCAGCCATTGCTGTCTGGGGCTGTGCGGCCGCCCCTCCCGCCGTCTCTGCTGCGTCCGCGGCCGCGGCCGCGGCCTCGGCCTCGGCCATCGCTGCCGCCCCCGCCGCCAGAGCTGCCGCCAGCTGCGAGGAGCCGCTCCTCGCGCGCCTTGCGCCGCTCCTTGGCTATGTTGGCCTCGCGCGCCTTCTCCGCGGCCAGCCAGTCCCTCAGAGCCGGCGCCACGCACACGTTCCCGCCTGCGTCCAGAGCACCCGACATCAGCGCTGCGTCTGAGCCGAACTCCGAGGCAGCGGCGAACCTGTCTCGGTACAGCTCCTCCTGGGTCTGGAGAGTCCGACCGACCAACTCCATGGCAGCGATGTTAGTCACGTGGAGCTGATCGTAGACCACGCCCAGCTCGAGGAGGCGGCAGCACAGCAGGTGGGTATCGACCCCAGGATCGTCCGCCTCAAGGTACCCCTCCGAGACCCACTTCGTGCGCCTGCCAAGGGGAGTACCCCCATTGCGGCAGATGAAGTTCAGCACCCATTGCAGTGTGCGGGGCCCCTTGAGGGGCCAGTCGCCCCAAGGTAGCTCGCGAAGGCGAACCACTGCAGCTCGAATGTCCACGTACCTCACTCCCTGCGCGTCGAAAGCCACCGACTGAATCCGAGCGTCGCCCCCAGGAGCGCCTGCGATGGCGGCCAATGCTGCGGCCACGCCACCAGGACGAGGGCCCCCACCCATAGCAGGCGCAGGGGCGGCGGCAGGCCCAGGGGCCGGCACGGCCACGGCGGCGCCGCCGAGAGCGCCTGGAGCAGCTGGGGGCGCCCCTCCTCCGCCAAAAGGCGCGACAACTGGAGCACCTCCAGCCGCAGGTGCAGGCGCTGCCGCCACTGGTACAAGGGCGGCAGCGCCCGCTGGCGCGGCCGCTGGGCCGCCCCCAAGGGCTGCGGCTAGCCCTGCCAGACCGCCCAGAGCCCCAGGAGCGCCGCCGGCCTCGCCAGCCGCGGGGGCCCCCGCAGGCCCCGCGCCAGCCGGAGCGCCGAGCACGGCCGCGATGACACGCCCTGCCGTGTTCAGCGCGATCGGCGGTCCCGCGCCCAGCCCAAGAGTACCTCGAACAGAGGCGGCACCTGTCGCGACATCACCAGGAAGAGGGAGACCACGGAAGCGGTAGACCTGGTCACCAGCTGTGACGGCCGCCACGGCGCCGGCTGCGGCGCCGGCGGGGATCGCGTACTCCCTGATGTCCGCCCCGTTCTGCATGATGGCCTCCACATAGGCGTGACCATCTGGAGTCATGATCCCTGTCCCGAACGGCGGCACCGTCTGAAATGCCAGGATCAAGCGCTCGTGCCAGATCCGAGCGCCTCCCACGCGATACAGCACATGGATGAAGTCGCCCTCGTCGAGCCCCTCCAAGGCCAGCGGGTGTCCACTTGCCGCCGCAGCGGCTGCTGAGCTGGCCATCACGAGGCGGAGGCCCGCGCTCTGGCTATGGCAGCCTGCACTCTAGCTTCCTCCTCCAAAGACGGCTTGGGCGGAGGGCCAGCGATCGGCTGCCAGGCGCCCAGCCACCGCGCGGCCAGGAGACCCCCAGAGAAGCCGGTCACGCCAGCGAGGGCCACCGCTGACAGCGCCCACCCCGGGGGTCCGCCCGGGCAGTCCAGGCGGGCCGCCTCCTGGCCCGGGGCGCAAGTGAGGGCTGGCGCGCACGTGCAGGCCGGGCACTCACCGCGAGCCGCCCACAGCAGCGCTGCCTGCCCAGCGCCGTGCACCGCCTCGCCCGCCAGCCATGCGGCGAAGGCCATCGAAGTGCCGTCGGCTTGCACTTTGAGCCCGATGCCAGCGGGGCAGGCACAGACGAATGCGGCGCTCTCTCTCCACCAGGCTCCGCTTCACGTTTCAAAACTGGACACATATATATACACACACACACACACACACATACAGACCGAAAATGCCCCCCCCGGACGCTGCCTCTCTCCCCTTACCCCCGCGGGCCCGTCCTGCTTCCGCACAACGGCTGGCCTCCTTCACGCCAGATAACCACCATTCCTTCTTTCACCAGCAGCGCAGCGAATGCGCGGTGTAGGAATACCAGCATTGTACCCACCGCGGCCGGCCAGAAAACCCCCTATCCACTGGACGGCCCCAGCGCCACAGACCTCCGACGCCCGTTCTTCGCTGGCAACGCGGCCCCGAGGCCTCTCCACCTCTTCCTGGCAACCAGGCTTCCGTCCCGCATCGGCTTTTGCAGATCACAGGGCCTGGACACGGCCCGCGGTCGCCGAAAACCATGAAACCGCGTTTCTGCGACGTGTACGAGTCACTAAGAAGCCTGGGCCCCACCCTCGAACAGCCCCCCCAGGTTTCCCCCTCTCCTCCGACCTCGCAGCTTTGTCGTGACACATTCCCCAAGGGATCTCGGTTTCTTCCCCATCCTGAACTGCTCCGAACAACCATCATGTAGTGTTGGGCTCTCGGGTTGAATCAGCAGCGCCCCGCGTCCCCCTTTCCTCCTCCCCATCCTCGTCCTTCCTCACATTTCGGCACTGGCCCAATTGGGAACTCCACTGACGGCCCCAGTCGCAGGGCTCGCAGGGCGCAGCCGCACCCATTTCTGCACACCCCTCAAAAGTTTCGAGGCCACACACACACACACGCATTCAACCCGTATACGAAGGACGCACGGTGAGGGCGCAAGGGCCTCGGAAGGCTACGTCGACACTGTTCGAACGGGGCGCAAGGGCCAAGGATGGGCCCGAAGGGGTAGGATGCAAGGGCAACCTTGGAAAGCTGGATTGAATATGAAGATTTCCACCGCAGTCCCCAGTAGCAAGGTTCGCATGGCGACACCGCACCCATTCTGGCACACACACACACACACACCACACGCTTCGTGGCCTCATAGGAAGGGTTCCACCGAAGGCCCCACTGGCAGGGCTCACGTGGCGCCACTGCACCCATGTCGGCACACACCTCACACGCTTCGCTCTTTTTTCTCAAGGAGAGGAAAGAGCGGACAGCCCCACAGCAATGCACCATGGAAGAAACACAACGGAAAACACATAGCACGTGACAGTCAACGCCGATCTACCCGTGACAATTATTGGCCGGGCAATTTCCGTGCATTGGGAACACAAACCTGCGCGTTTCTCGGACGATCCGGAGCGAACACTTCCCATCATTGAACCGCAACAGGGCAAAAATAATAGTCAGAGCCCAGGCTCCGTGACTCACCACGTAAAGTCAATGGCCGGACACATTCAAGAGGAGAGAGGGGGAGGAGAAGGAGGAGGAAGGGAACGAAATAGGCGGCCCAACTGGCCGCGACATCATGGTCAGCGAAGCGGGCCCCGTCCCGAGCAGAACCCAGTCGCCATTTGATTCGATCCACGGTACAGTGCACTAATGGAGGTGTTGAGGCTTCGGAGGAGGATTCGAACATTTGAAAAATATGAGTCGAACGCGTGTTTACTTGAAAGTACCGCAAAGCATGAAAATGGTTTTGAAAGTGAGACTGCGAAATGATACAAACATGAAAAATAAGAAGAATTCTTACATCGCCGCCACATGTTGGAACGCGAGCAGGCGGCGGCGCACGCGGCGACGGGGAGCGGGGACAGGACAAAGGAAGGAAAAGGATGAGGGGGCGGTGGAGCACAGGGGGCGCTTCATCCTCTCAGCTCGCTCGCCTGCCTCGCAGCAGAGAGCAGACAAGGCACGCGACAGTCGGAAGCAACTCGCGCCGCGCCCGCCAGCAGCGCGCCCAAAACAGAAGCCATGACCCGCTCATCGCCCTGTTCGCCGCCGCGCCACGGCGCGGCGAGCAAACAGGCGAACGCGAGCGGCGTCGGGAACGGCGCTGGGCAGGACGACGCTGTCACGTCCGCCAGGTCGGCGGTGGCGACTGCCGCTTCGTCGCGCACAGCAGCGACGCCCGGGACCCCGACATCCGCAGGACCTCCAGCGGCGCCAGCGACCGCGTTCCTGGCCGCGTGACGGGGCGCGAAGGGACGCGTTCCCTGCCATCCCTCGTCCCCCAAATTCCCGGAGCTTCTATCGCTTCTCCTCCTCTTGGCCCCCCCCCATTAACTTTCTTCCCTGTAGCCACGCCATTTCTCCTGCCCCACCTGCCCCGCCCCCCCCCCCCCCACCCACCCCACTTCAGTCGCGATCCCCCGGATTCGAGGACCGACTCGGCGATCGATCGCCGATCGATCGACGACCGACGACCAATCGAGGATCGATCGACGGCGGCCCATCGACGATCGATCGATCGACCAGGGGTTCGATTCAGGCCCCCGTGCCGCAGCTCCTCAGCAGGCGTTGGCGACCCAGCCTCGTTCCAAGGCCACCCCCCCTTCCGACGCGCCCTCTCGCCCCCCCGCCCCCTCCCCCGTCGGCATCAGACGGGGGCCCGAGCGGGGCGGCGAGAGAGGCACGCTGTGGAAGAGATCATATGCACCCGCGCCAACCTCTGAGTCCCTCCCCAGCACCAGCGGCGCGAGCTGCGATGAGAACCCACCGCCAGGGGCGCCCGCCAGGTCCGCGGCCAAGCCGCGGCCAGACCCGCCCCAGTGCGTCTCGGCGAGCCACGAGAGGACCTTCTTCCGCGGCGGCAGGAGGCGCGGCCACGGCCCGCGGGCGGATGCAGAGGCTGACCTCGCCGCGGTAGGTCGCCAGGATCTCCTCTCAGTCTGGCGCCGACCACCCCGCGCCAGCTGTCGAAATCTGCTTAGGGAACGCGTCGATGTCCTTCGCGCCCACCTGCGCGGACACCCCCGCGAACTCCTGAACGGACGGCCCCCGCACCCGCCACGCGCGCATGGCCGACGCGAAGACCAATCCGAAGCTGGCGCGCTCAGCAGCACCACGCAGCGCGTTCAGCAATGCCGACTCGGCGTCGGCCAAGCGCCCGATGACGCAGGCCCTCGGCCGCCGCACTGGAACGCCCCATCGCGCGGGATCGACCAGCACCGATTGGGCCGCGCGCCCCGTGGACGTCAGCTGCTACGCCGCCCTGCGCCGGCCAACCGCGCCCGCCCCTTCCTCGCCCGCCGCGTCCGAGTCCCCCAATACGACAAGCTCCGGCTTCGTCTGCGGCACGTAGCGCAGCGTGGCCGGCGCCGAAGCAGCGCGGTCGACCACGCGGGCCTGGGGAGGCCAGCGGCACGCTGGCCAGGAGGAAATTGACCCCCCAGCAGCCGGGCAAGAGTGCTCCCCGAGGCAGGCCCCCGCGGCACTCTTCTCGGCGCGCGCGTCAGGGAAGTGGCATGCAAAGCGGCTGCGCGCCCCGCGCAGCGCGTCCATCGACTCGAAGACGCACGCACGATCACCCTTGTTTCCCGTTCTGGAGCGCGTTCGCGAAGAAACGTCTTTTCCTGTCCTCGGCGCCCCCCGGGTTGCCCGCCGCGCGCGCGAGCGCCGCGCGCCGCTCAAAATCCCCCAAGCCCTTCTCCTCCAGCCCGCAAGCCAACGCGTCAAACACTGGGGCGGTGAACGCAAACCCAGGGACCACCAGGCCCACGGACCGGGCTGGCGCGTGCTCGATGGACCTCGACGCTGCCGCAATAGCCTCCTTCGGAACGCAGCGCAAACACTCGCTGCACGTCAAGTTGGTCGCAGCCCCTGCCGCGAAAGCGGCTGCGGGCGACAGATCGGGCGCGCCCGGCGGCGACTCCTCGGTCGCGGCGCGGGCCCTCTGCGCCTCGAGGCGAGCGTGGGCGGACATCCGCTGGTCGACGGGGCCCCCCGGCGACGCGCCCGCGCCCGCGTTCTGCTCCGCCTGCGGGAACGGGGGGAAGTCTGAGCTGAGGGGCGAGGGAGAAGATCGGGGAGACGACGACTCGACGAGGACCGGATCGACGAGGCTCGATCGACAGGGAGTTGGATCGAAGAGGTTCGGATCGATCGTCGATCGTCGATCGCCGATCGGTTCGACGACGAGGATCAGATCAAAGGGGAGCGGCGACGGGTTGAAGCGAAATGCGACATGTCCTCCTGGCGCGTCAGCAGCGCCAGCTGCAGCGCCAGAGGAGGACACCGCGCGGCGTCCTCCTCGCGAGCGGCGCGCTCCCTCGCGAGGCCAGCCGCGACCGCCTCGGGCTCTTCCGCCGCGGGCGTCTGGGGGATGGGGTCCCTCGGCAGCTCCCGGCCCTCCCTGCTCCATGATGCGCACGCCACCGAACCAGTTGCGGCGGAACCTCGGCGGGATAGGGGGCGGGCGCCGTCGCGCACTGCTGCGACGCGACGACGACGCGAGATGCCAGAAAACGCCGACAGCCAGCTTCAAGCGACCGACGACCGACGACAAAACAGTTCTCCATCAACTCCCTCTCATCATCGCCCACCGCCGCGCCGCTGAGCGCGGCGCCAGCGGAGCTTCGACGCGCGGTTTTTCCCCGCGGTCTTGTGGCGCGCGGTCGCGTAGCCGCGCGCGGTGCACCCGCGCGGGCCGCCCCCCGCCGCCGCCCAGCTGGAAGGAACCGCTCCGCCGTTTCCGCCTCCGCCGCCGCCCCCGCCCCCACCTCCGCCACCGTCGCGCACTGCAGCGACTTCCGCGTTTCTGCCTCCGCCGCCTCTGGACCACTCCTGCCAGCCGCCGCCGCTGGACCAGTCCTGCCAGCCGCCGCCGCTGGGCCAGTCCTGCCAGCCCTGCCACCAGCCCTGCCACATGGCGGCGGGCAGATGTCGAGGGAGCGGCTGAGCGACGTGGGAGTGCGAGCCCGCGATTGCAAGCCGGGCGCAATGGCTGGCTCGAGCGGAAAAACGGCAGCGGGCCAACAGAAATGAGGAGCAGGAGATGAAGCGCATAGGGCCCCGAAGATCTCATAGAACTCAGGAAAGTCATGCAAAGCGAGTTCAGAAACAATCTACAAGGGCAATCAGCGAATCCAGCAACCGCACTTGCGAACGCACACCAAAAAACACACACACACACACACACACACAGACACACAAATGTACAAATATGGCAGATTCAAAGCGGAAAGAAAGTTCCAATGAAAAAACGCTAGTTCTCAAGCACACAAACCTCTCGATGCGAATCCTCCACCAATTTCTTTGTGGATCCAGCTAATGCGCCATGTCGGCTCCCAGTGGGCTACAGCACACAGCACTACAAGTTAGAGGCTGCGGAGCTGCAGCGAAGAGGGAGAGGAAAAGAGGGCGCCAGCGCCACACCAGCACGGGAGCGAGGCAGCAACTTTAGAATGCATGACGGGCACGACGGAGCACGATGACTCGGAGACATTGACTCGGCTTGGTACCTGGTGCCAGCCCCGAGTATGGGCGGCAGTGCTACGGCCCTGATGCGATGGATGGTGCACAGGCTGCAGATGTGGGCGTTCCACACGGTGCTGTTTTGGTTGTAGCCACGACCAAAACTCAATTCGACACTTTGCGTCATGCCGGGTCGTCAGGTCGCTTCCACGGGAACCTCCCCTGGCACGCGACCTAGCTCTTGCTCGCTTCCTCCGCATTAGGGGACCCAGGATGTGCGATGCCGAGCTCTCCAAGCGGGCCATCGCAATGCACGGGCTGTACCGCGCGCACAACTTGAGCCGACACGGCGCCGTCCCCGCCGGCGACTACGCAGGGGCTTTTCGCGAGCACTGCTGCGAGGCGCGCCGCGGGCAGTCGCAGGACGAG